GCGTCCAGTCTACCCTGTGTAATTTCGGGGACAATTAATGCATGGTACTGGCACTGGTGGTTGATTGGCCACCTATAACTGTTGCTTGTTTTTCGTGGACGCTTTTATCCTGACGATGGACCCCAGTAAGAGCCCGAAAGCTCACCTCAATAAAATTATGATTCCGGTGATCGAACCGTCTTATCCTTGTTCACCTCTGTCAGTCTCTGAGTCGTAACCCACCTCTAGTCTTCTTGACTCAGTCTTGACAAAAAGCTCAGGTGGGTGAGTAAGGAGAGAGTACAGTGAAAGACTATTGCCATCATAAAGTCATTTACGTTCAAGTTATCGTGTCTGCGCTCACGAACGCGGGGGAGGGGACACACGGTTTGTGAGGTCGGTCGAACTGTCGGTAATGGTCATTTTCGCTAATTATATTGCGTTTGAAAAAAGAATAGTTGAACACACACATCTTCGTCAGTATTTGCCCATATTTGCCCTTCTTCCATGATACTGGAATTGCAGAATTGTAGGTTGAGGGCATTCTCCTTAGCAGAAATGACGAAAAGCTTAAATAGATCTGTTAGGATGAGCCTAACAGATGGCTAGCATACAGGCAGCGAGCCGCACTTACGGTAGGCTATCGATCGGCCTACACGCGGCAAACGCAGACTGGCAGTCGATCAATCAATACTTCAAAATTTTAGCTGCAGTTAGCCATTGAGTCACAAGCCAATCGTACTGCTACTCATGCCAGGACAGAGGCTGATTGGCCAGATGGACATAGTTTAACCCGCGTTTGTTACCCTTACTATGTTGTACTAAATACGCCCAAAGACTTCTGCTTTTGCCCTCTTCTTGTCGTGTTCTGCCTTTGGGGGCTCATACGAGACGTAATCAGGCGGTGACATCTCGGCTTGGCTACCGTTACAACAAGATCAAATTCAGACAATCGTACTCTTTTTATTTTCAACGATCAGCAAGCGTTAAGTAGGGACACTAGCCCTGGAAGTGCCTCAAGGAAAAACTGGATGCCAAGATTACTATTTGGTGTCTCTGCGGGTGACGGTTTAGTCTGGTTAGCCTACGCCAATAACAGCGGCAACACGTACTACTAACGTCGGTTTGGAAGTTTGTAGGTGGCCAATTGCAGAATCATTTCACAAAACATCCAATCTGGTGAAGCCTCATAACAAACACAATGTTTTTTGTCAGTCAGATTTTTAGTCTCATTTGGGCAGTCAATCAACATTTTTCAGTCAATCTTTCATAATGCTTGTCAACGCAACCAAAGTAGGTAAGATGAGTTCTGATCATTTTAAACATTTTATACTATCTTTCATAGTTAAATCGGGAAATGCACAAAATCCACCCAGATTCACGGAGCTTTCTGAGTTGATTTATGCCAGGTTTAACCCTTATTCCCTTAAGAGTTTGCCTTCTTCGCACGGGATTGCTGCTACCACCGCCATGAAATTAGGCAGGCGGCTAAATGCACTCAAAGTAAAAAAGTGCTAACAGAAGACAATTCGGAGGAAAATTTAAAGCAGAATTTCACTTCTTTCCCCACAGCCCTGTCATTGGTAATGAACAGTAGCCACAGCCGATCAAAATATCCGACAGCTACTTGAGAACCCGTCCCTTACCCCTTCTTCGTCTTTTTCTTCTACCTTTTTTTAGCTCTTCCATATCCTCCTTCTTCCCTTTCTCCTTTTCCTCTTACTAATCATCCTCATCACGCGTACAAACTTGCCCCTCAACAGTGCTGCGTCGCCGTTCCTTGAGAGTTAACTCCAAAGGCATTTCTGTAGCCTTTCTGTAGCCTACCTTCTCCTAACTCGTGACGCCGCAGACGAGGTCACTCAGACCATGGGACATCGCGCAAAGGCAGTTATCGGTATGCCTCGGACCAGGTGCAAACTGATTCTCGGCCTGTCAATCCACAGCGGCTCGACTTCAATACGTCCAATGAGATTCCCGCATTAGGAGACTAGTCTAATTTAATGGGTTGGTCACAATCAGTTTTGATACAGACCCAAATGCGGTGACTGACGCCAGACATCACTTCGGACACGGCCCTGCTCGGGTGAAGACTTGCGCTCGTTCGAGTCAAATTTCCTCCT